TAGACCGTGTGGCTAATATTCAACTGCCCTGGTAATTACATGACACATTTAATCAATTTTTATTTTTTTTAATTCCCGTGCCTATTTATCCTCCCCAAGTTTAAAGATGACATTATTATTGGCTATTTGGCACGTTAAAAAGGACCTCGATTCTGTGAAAATTCAAAATGTTGTCATCCCCAATTGTTATTCATACAAAGAAAGGAAGCAGTTGACAAGCTCTCCCGAAATTTATCTGCACAAATAAATTCTATTGTTTTCGCTTGCTTTAAATGGGTTTATTCAGAATAGACCTAAGTGTAATCCCTGTGCTTTCGTAAACTTTTCAGTCAGATATATGAAATTTAGGAGACATTACTTTCGGCAACACCCGACTGGTTTTATTCGCACGTCATAATCACCCTACGGTCTGGCCGCCCTTTTAATTGTACATGCTGCAAGAAATTGAATTCGTTTTAGGTTGCAGAAATCGAAGTTATAAATAAAATTCTGTTGAAGATTATTCCCAAACGTCGAACTATTTCCTGCCGTCTTCAGTCGGTGAGGCGTTTGGTCATACATAATTTAACCTTATAAAAAGATATGGTTTTATCTACCAAATAAGGAGCATTTTAAACTGTACTCGAGCAGCAAATAGATTGTTGGTAATTGAAGTGATTTACAAATTAAGATAGCAAAAACTGCTAATGAGCACACGAGTCCACTTTTAGCTGGCGTGGTTGCTAAAGATGCTTTTTGCTGTAATATGCTGCAGTGCATCGGACCATGGAACTTTATTCGGCAAAGGTTGTTTAAGTAGTGCACCTCATTCACCCCTTGTCCCAGCATTTTCCCCCAGGGAAACAGTGGTTATAGGGGTTTTGGCGGTGGGTAAATATGATAGACAGTGAAGAAAATTTGATAATCGCGTTTTTCCCCAATACGTTAAATGACAACAGAGATTAGGATAGTCGACAGATATTAATAAACAACATTTCTAAATAGGATAAAATAAAAAATACATACAGCAGTTAGCAAAGTATATTCCACCGGCTATCCTATTTCCCCACCCAAAAAAACCTTTAATCCCGTTTCCATAGGCTAAATGCTGAGAGTTGATGTATATGGTGTGCACTACTTAAACTACTTTTGCCTTTTATTCTTACTTTAAAAGAACGTAATAATTTTAGCACTGTATCCAAACTAGCATTTGAATTTGTTAATTCTTACATCCGAAAGTGTATAACCGAAGTGAAACAATTTTTTGGTGACTGACGAAAACATATTAACTTCCTTGAACCATAAGGTGCTGCAAAGACATTTTCCTTCCTAGCAATCGAAGTAATTTAGCTTTGTTGGCCAGATAAAATGTTACTACTTATCGGGACCTAGTAACTCCTTTTATTCGCTTTTTTGGTTCGGGTGTTGTGACTTGAAAATACTTAACGGCCAAATAAAGGGCTGAAATAAATCTTGATCTCAACCATAAGAAAAACAGCTGATATGTACACTCCCATAACTGCGAAACTCTTTCACTCTGAGGAAAATAAGCAGAAGTTGGTACCAGCGTGGTGTTACTCGTCACTGCAGTTAGGGCAGATAGCTATCGTAAAGTTTTCCCACCATGAAGGATGCGAAGTCGCCGAAGTCCACGACTGGCTACTCGGTCGTTTGTCTCAGTGACTAAATACATATTTTCTTCTTGTAAAATTAAATTTTAATGATGCACAATGGCGGTAATGACCTAGGCTTAATAAGTACCGAGTAGATAATCCCATTCCTAGTCATTAGTGTAGGGGCCAGCCTACG